GCAAACATACCCTCCCGCTGCTCGCCCCACCACAAGGGACCAGCGGGGTGTGTCATTGGCAGAGGGCAACACGGGGGGGGGGGGGGGCGCGGCGCTTCCTGTGGCAGCCCTGCTTGGGGGGCCGCAATGTTTTCAGGGGAGAACCATGGGCTGCAGCCCAAATTTCTTCAGGGAGAGGGGGGGGGAGGGAGGGAGGGAGGGAGAGCCCTCCTGATGATCTCTGAGCTTCCTTCAGGAAAGGGGGCCCAACGTGAAAGGAGAGGAATGTGGTTTGCGAAGGAAGAGCCAGGCGGGGCCCAAGCGAGGGCCCTGGGCAGCTGTCAGGCAATTCGAAAGCAGGCTTGAGGGCCTCTTTTTCCAGCTTCACTCTCTTGATAAATAATGCAAGAGAGGTCCTCCCTGGGGACAACCCAAACCCTTCCCCTCCCCGGGGTCCGAGCCCAGGAAATGGCCCCGATGCCTCCTGCTGTCAAGCCGAATGCCCACACGCCCCTGTACCCTGGGCTGCGCCTCAGGCCGGTGGTAACCGGCATCGGGCCCTTCCGGGGCCAGGCTGTGGGCCCCTCTGCAGGCTGCCGGGGGGGGGGGGCTGCTGGGGTGGTAGCCGACAGCTGTTTGGCAAAGGGGAGCCAGCTTGGGCAGAAGCAGATGGAAACAAACATTTATTTCTATGGAAACGCCAGAGAGCAGAGGACGGTTGGGGGGGGGGGGGGCCTTTCCTCCCCCGCTGCAGAATCCGGGGGGGCGGTTAGGCCTTTTGGTGGGTTTCTGTGTCTCGTGGACTTGTGTGTGTGTGCGCGCGTGCAGAGCAGCTTCCAAGCTGGCCTGAGCGGGGGTGGGGTGCGAGGAGCTACAGCCCATGCAGAAGGTCAGCTGCAGGTGCCACTGGACACCACACACGGCTTGTTGGCTGTGGCTCTGTGGCAGGAGACCAAACAAGCTAAGCCATAACCAGGGTTTACAAACACGCCTTCCCCTCCCTCCAGCAAACGTGTCGGTTTCCTCCCTCAGAGCTGCCTGGGAGCAGAAGCCGCCTCAGCCATTGGTGCCATGTGCGGCTGCCATTGGATCCCCAGCCAAGATCTAGAAGGCATAAAAGAATCCCCCGACCTGAGCTCTGTTCGCTTTGGCAGGGCAGCTGGAGGGGAGGGGGCAGGGGAGGCTCCTTGGGTCCCAGAAGGGGGAGAATCCATTAACTCTGCTCAGAGGAGGAGAGGCGCTGGCCGGGCCCTTGGCTCAGAGCGGAGCTGCAGTGCCGACACAAAGGCAAAGGAGCCAGGGAGCCCCCCCCCCCCCCATCCCCCCCGAGGAAGGAGGATTTGCTTTGCGAGGCTTTCAGGAAAAAGACTTGGAGGTGGGTGTGTGGGGGGGGGGGCGCTCTGGCCTTGATGTAGTGAGGAGACGGCCAAGGGGTGGGGAGGAGTGGTCCCCTCTGGAAGTGCAGCCGGCTACACTGAGGCAGAGTGGGATGCGAAAGCCCCCCCTGCCTCCCAGGGCCCAACTCCCAGGACTCCTAAAAGAAACAGCTTTGTGCCTCTTGAAGGGAGCGGCAGGAGCCCCCTCCCCTCGCCCAGAAAGGCTCCCTCGGGGTGGCAGGACTGGGCTCGCTCCTGCAGGGGGGAGGGAAAGTCCCCCATCGCCAGCACTCCTCCGGAGATGGGAAGAGGGCCGTTGTCAGGGTAACTGCAGGTATCTCTTCAGCCCCCGCTCAGCAGGAAGAGGGGGAAGCTCTGAGTTGCCAGGGAGGGAGGAGGCGAGCACCATGGGCAGGAGAGGACGGGCTGACGAACACCCTGGTGCACCCGGGGCTCCATCGGCCCCCAGAGGACAACCTGAATGAGGCCTGCAGGTTATCCAGGTAGAGCTTGGGGAGCTGGTCACTGGCTCCCGCCAGTCTTGGCCATGAGATGGGATGCTGGCAAGAAAGCAGCAGAAGGCAAGGGCACCCCAAACCAACCCTGGCATAGCCAAATGCTTCAGTCTGGCTGTGCCACCTTGGCGGAGGGCAGCCCCAGCTGAGAGAGGCGGTGGGGGGGGGGCGCGTTGTGGGCTGGACTGTGCTGAGTGTGGGCCTCCTCCTCTGGCTGGGGTGGGTGGAGCACTCCCCCTCTACCAAAGAGCCCGTTCCCCACAACTTTCAAGCATAAGCAAGCCAAGCAGCACCACAGAGCGAATCGGGTGCCAGATTGGCCCCGACCCAGACGGGAGGCTTTCCGGAGCACGGTGGGCCTGGCACAGACCCCCTCTTTGGGAGGAGGGCAGGGCTGGCCTCTCTGGGGCTTCAGCAGAAGCTGGTTAAGAGGTGCACGGGGTGGCTGCTCTGCCCATATTTGCAAGGTGTGGGAAGAAGGGCAGCCCATTGCCAACTGCCTGCCAGGACGATCCACCTGATTTATCCTTGGCATTTTAAGCATTTGATTGATTGATAAACTACATCTAAATGCATCTTCTGCATGTTGCCCACGGAGAGGAAAACGCGCAGGTTGGGGAAAAAGCCAATCTGGCCTCGTGCCAGTCACACCCACCTAGTCTCACCTGTCCCTGGCATCCTTCGATGGGGAGAGCCTGGACGGAACCTGCACTTGATGTAGTTTCATTTAATCTCAATGTAAGCTTAATTAAAATGGAATTAGCCAGTTAGCGTGATTACTCCCCTGTGCATTCGATAATTTTCACTCTTGTATCCCATTAAGCGCTGCTGTTTGAGGCACCCTTGTGGGGCTTGCATGCATGCGGGGTGGGTGGGGGGTAGGGACCCCCAGCCAGGGAGCAAAGGGTGGTAGGACTCACGGCGCCCAACATGCTGGAAGATCGAGAGAAAATGGAGCCAGGGAGTGTCCTCCTTGTAGTGCAGGGTCCCCAGCCCCCGGCCCGTGGCACCAGGCCACAGCGTGCCAGAAACTGGGGCATGCAAACAAGTGACGCCCCACCCACTGAATGCAGGCAGCACATGGAACCAGGCCCCCTCTGGTCCGCAGAAAAGCCTCTCTATGGAACCGGTCCCTGGTGCACAAAAGGTTGGGGGCCGCTGTTGTAGGGCCACTGTGTGATGTGGGCCGCCTCCATCAGCTGCCACAGGGCACCGCACATTAGAGGGACAGACTTTCCTGACGTAACTTTTTGTGCTGGTGCAAGGCTGCATGTGCGCAAGGGCTCGTAACTTGCACAAAGCAAGCCCAGCCAGTAGTCTTTTGTGACCGGTTCAGCGTGTTGTGTGAATACTTTCCTGACTGAAGTTCAGTGTTGCCTAGTAGTGTGAACCCAGACTCAGAGAAGTGCTTTGTTGGGCATAAGCGCTGCGAGCGTTGTTAGTCCTGCGTTGAACTGAGCTGGTTGTGGTTTATGCAGACTCTGGGTGGGCCTGGCTGGAGTCTCAGAAAAGGCAGGTGACGACGCAGCGGGAAGGGGGCATTTCCAACCTCCGGAAGGATTCTTTGCGGCAGCTGCGCCTTGAGGCGGAGCTCCTTCCAGGTGGGTCTCTCTGCCGGCCTCTGAGCCCGGGGCAGGGAACCTGCTGCCAAATGTGGACTTGCCCTATGCCAGCTGGCTACTACAGATGCCAAGCGTTTACGGTATGAATTGTTATGATTAATTACATTGGGATTAAGATGGTTGGAATTCAAGGGCAGACTTTGATCACACAGCCTGGCCGTGGGTCAGTCGAGTGACCGAGGTGCCTCTCGTGCTGAGCCAGAGCGGGCACTTCAGGTGTGACCAGGCCGAAGGGGGAGGGGTTACAGTGTTGTAGCATTCCTTAACTTACCTTTTGCCCACTTTGTGCTGCATTCAGAAACGGTAATTCAGTCAACTGCAACTGATTGCAATCTTTGAATGTTGTATTTTGCTGTTACTTGGTCTGAAACCAGCCTCAATAGATGAGCAATTGTGGTTTGTGGCTTGTTTCCATTTGTATGGCAGTGAAGTCCTTGTCCGAGTGTTGTTGCTCCATTTCTCTCTTGCCTAATCTGCCCTCCGTGCAACCTGGGGGCTTGGGGCAACCTATCCCGATTCCCATTTTGAATGGATTCTGCTCCAAGGGGAGGGGGGTCTGGGTGGGCAGCTGATGGTTGCAGATTCCGGGTCAAGTGATCCCCTTCCCAGCCAGCTTCCAGCAAAGTCAGTGGGAGAAACGGGAGTCACTTCATGAGAGCGCCATTCACTTCACAACTGTCCTAAAATCGGGCATGGCTCACTTAAGCACCACCTTGCTTAGCAGTGGAAATTCTACTCCCACCTGTGGTCATATGTAGAGGACCCCTGTCCTGCCTCTGCAGCCAGAGACCCCTGCACAGTTGTCTCCTAGGTCTTAATTTCAAGACCCAGCAACCCTTGTGCTGTGTGAACCCAACAGCCCTGGTTTCTAACTTCTGTTCAGGGGCTTTGGGAGACGGAGGAGGACTTGGTTTAGCGTGTTGTGTGAAGTGCCGGCCTCGCAAGCGAGGCTTTGGGGCTCAACGTGAGGGGCCGTCTCAGCCAACCGAAGCTCGTCTGCGCATCGGGTACCGGTGCGATGTGCTCAGGGAGTCCCCACCCGAACAGGCACCCCGGAAATTCACGGGGCTGCCACCGGCGAGGAGACCTCCCAGCCGCGCGCCGGCAGTTTCTCCGCAGGGGCTTCGCTACGGGCAGCGGTGGTGGGGGAGCGCGGGGTCTCTGCTGCGCCATCGCCGGGAATGGCCGCGGCTGCTTCCCTTCGCCGTTTCGGAGAGGCGGAGGAGCTCCGAGTCCGAAGCGGCCAACCGCGCGGCTCCTCCGGCGCCCGCTCCGCGCCTGGCCGGTGTGGTCGAGCCGCGGGGCGGGGGGAGTGGCGGCCGCTGCCCTGGCCAGGCCGGAGGAGGGGCCGCGGCGGGCGGGGAGGAGCCGAAGGCGGAGCGGGCGGCCGGCTGGCGGCTCCTCCCCTCCCGCCGCGTTCCCTCTCCCGCCGCCGCCGCGCTCCCGCCCCGGCCGCCCTTCTGCCAGCCGCGCCGCCGGCCTCCGGTGCAACCCCAGCCGCCGGGCGGGCGGACGTCGCGGCCCCAGGAGCGGCGGGCGGAGACGGCGGGGCCGGGCGCGCCATGCGGCGGCGGCTGCAGCGGCTGAGCCTGCCGCCTTGTCCCCCCCCGCAGGCCAAGATCGCCGGCATGATGGAGGGGAACCAGCAGCTGGCGCTGCGCATCGACGGAGCGCTCCAGGCGGCCGGGCAGGAGGTGAGCGCCCTGCGAGCCGAGCTGGGCGCCGCCAGCCGCAGACTGGCCGAGCTCAGCGCCGACGGGCCCCCAGGCGCCGCCGAGATGGCCGCGGGCGGAGGCGGCCCGGACCCCGCGCAGCCCAGCCTGCAAGGTAAGCGGCGGCCGGCCCTCCGGAGGGCTCGGGGACGCGGGGAGGAGGACGGGCGGGCACGGGGGCTGCTCCGCGCGCGCGGCCTCCCATCCCTGCGCCGCGCTCTCGAGAGGCGCTCTGGGGCTGTGCGGGACCAGCCGCTCCCGGGCAGACCTGCAATCCGGCCGGGGGCTCCGCTCGCGGGCTGCTCGGCCCGGCGCCCTTCCGGCCGGCCGCGGGATCGCTGCTCGGCCTGTCTCCCGGGCGGAGCCGGAGAAGCGCTGCCTCTTGCGGCTCTTCCTCGCTAACCTGGCCGTGGGCCGAGAGACTCGGTGGCGGGGGCGCGCTGGCTCCTCCGGGCTGGTGGGAGAGACACCGCCGGGGCCGCTCCTGGAACTCGGGTGTGCCGGCAGGGCGCCCGGGGGGCTGCATCGGAGCGAGCGGCCTTCAAGGCGGGGGCTGGGGGGGCTCTTCGGAGGGAGAGGCAGGAGACCCTGGGGGGGGGGGGGGGGGGAATTGTGCAGAGAAGGGTTGGAGCGATGACGTCATGGGGCGCGAGGCTCTCGGTGGAAGCACCGGCAGCATCTGGCTACTTGCTCTCCACCCCCGCTCCAAATGCCCGCGGGGTGTAAATGAGCAACGTCCAGAGGAGCCGCTGGGGAAGCGGTTGGGAGGTGAAGGGCCCACCCCTCTCCGCCCAGGAATCGGGAGGTCCTGCCCGCTGAATTGTGTGGCGATCTTGCTTGCAACCGAATCCAAGGATCGGGCTGCCCCTCCGCTGTTTACCTTTCTAGTAACAAGTCTGAATCTGCTTAGGAAATCGCCTCTTCCTGGGATTTGCGGGGGGGGGGCAGCGGGGGGGGGGGGAGGACTTGGCAGATGGAGCCATGAAGGCGTCTGGCTGGGGCTTCTCGGGGAAGCGTTTGGTTAGCAGGCAGCAGCAGCAGCCTTCTAAGAAACGTGTGTGGGAGAGCGAGTGGCACCCACTGCAAGCCAGCCAAGGAAATGGTTGTGGAGCTAAGGGGAGGGGGAAGAAGAGGCTGAGCCCCCTGGCACAAGATGGGGATTCCCCTCCCCCCAACCAGGAGCAGCCTCCGGAGAAGAAGAAAGGGCTCTCTGCTGGTGGAGACTCCCTCACCGCCAAAGGGGGTTTGGGAGGGACCGGCCCCCCCCCCATCCTGAAGTCTGCTTCGTGTGTCAGGGCCCACCAGCACCCAGAAAACTGCAGTGGGGTGGTGGGGCAGGCCAGCCCTGGCCTTCAGGGGCTCCAGTCCCTCCACTGAGCCTGTGGGGCAGAGTTGGGGGGGAGGAGAGATTCAGCAGGCCGTGGAAGGCCATGGTCTTTGCAGACCCAGCCCTCTGCAGGGGTCTCGGACCTGCCTTTGCCAGAAGCGCTCTTCCTGTTCCAAGGGTGGCTGGAGGGGGCTTTTCCACCACAGCAACCCAGGTAGCCCCCTCCCCCTTGTTTGCAGAAAAGGTGGTAGCATTTTAGTACCTATGCGCTCTTTGCTTCATTTTGTCTTTTCTTAGTTGCCTGCCCAAAGGGCGGAGGGCTTCACCCTTTCCCACTGCTTTTTTCAAGGGAAAAGAGAGCCGGGAAAGGGGTTCAAGTCCAGGGTCCTCGGGAGTCACACGCAAAGGCCCACAGGTTGTCAAGCCTTAGTTGCCAATTGGCGGCTCTTCAGGTCCTGCTCTGAAGTTTGGGGCCCAGGACTGATCAGGAGGAGGCCCGGAAGCCCACTCTTCCAGTCCTGCGAGGTAGGATGGGCTCCGTTATCCTGCTCTTCCAACAGCTTCTTTCTTGCATGTTTCCATTCAGTGTAAGGAAGACAGAAGTGGCTCTGCCAACCTCTATCCAGAGAGAAGGGCAGGGTTTTTTGTTTTTTTTTTGGGTGGTGGTGGTGGTGGTTTGGCTTTCGGGAATGATCAGCTGGCCAAGAATATCCTGCCAGTCCTGGCACACCACCACCTGCCCGGAATTCCTTCCTTCCCTTCCCCGGGATATCCGAATGGAAGCTGCCCTGTGACTGCTCGGGGGCTCTTCCTCCATTCTGGCCTCCGTTGCACAGAGGAAGCCTCCTGCCTGGGAAGGGAGGTTCCTGCTTTGCGGGGAAGGAGGGAGAAAGGGCTGGTGGCTGGCAGGGGGCAGGGGTATCCTGGCCCCCTCCCCCTTCCTGGGGCCCAGGGATACTCCTTCCGTAGCAGGGGCTGCCCTGAGCTGCAGCTGAGTCTTCCCTGGTTGCAGCTGGCACGTCAAGCCCCCCAAGGCAGCCTGCCTTCAGGTCCTGTGCCAAGCGGGTGATAGGTTTGTGAGGAGTGACTTTGACTTGGGCCCCGGGGCCTCTGCCAGCCCCTGTAGGGAAGCACCCTCTGGGTGCAAGGAAAGATTTTCCCCCCATAGAATTTGGGTCTAGGGAATTGCTGTGTGTCCTAAAAGCTGGGCCAAGCTGGGCATTGAACCGCAGCGGGCGCCAATGGTTGGGGTCTCTGGGAGCCGCAGAGGCTCTTTCCAGGCCAATTGTGGGTGGTCTCCAGTGGCCCAGCTGAGCCCTTGAGCACTCCTGGCCTGGGAGTGCACCTGCGTCAGCCCCAAGTGGCTGCCCTCAGTCCACCCCCGCCCCGATGCAGCACCACTCGAGTGGGCAGTAGCATTTGGGTCTTTGCTGCTCTGACTTCCTTTCTTCCTGGGCAGCGAAGGCTGTGATGATCTGGAGGGGGCTCCGGAGTGGCAGGAGCCAGGCCTCAGGAAAGATGTGGCTGCTTTAAAGAGCAGAGAGCCTGCCCTTGTCACAGGCCCCAGGTGTATAACCCTGGTCTGCTAGGATGCGTTTCAAACTTTCGGGCCAAGAGTTCAAGTTGTACAGCTTGGCCATTTCAAAGGTTGTGGACCCTGCAGAGCCCTTAACTTTCCTTTCCGGGTTGCAGCGACTGCATTCACGTGGCCAAAGCTTGCACTAGGCCCGGACCGTTCACACAGGGTTCTCCTCTGTAAGGTGGGGATCTAGGTTGCTCTTCCACAACCAGAGGCCCATCCTCATATTTAGTGGGGGAGGGGAGGAGGAGGAGGAGGAGGAGGGGAATTTTTATCTATTGGTGTTTTTCTTTCATCTGGCTTTGTTCCTGGCCAGGTTAGGGGGCTTTCAGCTACCCAGAGAAATCCCTCAGCCCCTCTTTCCCGCTATAGAAAAACCAAAGGGCGAATTAAAAGAATTAGGAAATTAATTCTAGTTGACCCAATGTTGTTTTCACACTATTGGTGTTCGTTATTGTATCGCTGTCAGTGCAGCTAGGAGGTCTGTATTGCCGTTCCTATTTTATTGCCACTCTTCCTAGGGTACCCAGATTGTGGCTGCCTTATGGTAGCTGGACCGGGAGAAATAATGTTGCCACGAGTGGCTTTTTTTTGGGGGGGGGGGGGGGGGGGACATCTCGGCATTGACATCTTGTGTTTCTGAGAGAGTTTGGCACTCTGATGCAGCGACTTCGCTAACAAGATACTTTGAAGGGGTAAACACAGCCTGTTAATTAAATTTGCAGGCTATGATTAAATTGGAAGCCGTTGCAAATATGGGAAGGGGAAGTTCAGCAGGGGAAGTCAGCCTTGTGTGGCGTCTGTCAGGGCCGGGAGCCTCGCAGTTGTTGATCCTGCAAATTCCTTCTTTGCCCCAATGGGAATCGGGTCAGAGAGCAGCTCGCTGGGGGACGATGGGATCTGTGGCCTATCTGCTTTCGAGACATTTTTGGGGGCAGGGGCAGTGCATTAATACAGGACTGAGCTGTTCTCCCACGAAGGGCCTTGATTCCAGCTTGTTTTCGCTGCCATTGGTTTAATTTAGAGGCCAGCCTGCATTTGTTTTTTAATGCTGATGTGGTTGTCTCAAAAATCCACCCTGCAGAGTCCTGTTTTCCAGGAAAGAGCACATCTGTGTGTCAAAACGTAGGAAAGCCAAGAGCATTTTCTGTTCTGATCTAAAACTCTTCCTCTTTGAATGCCTTCTCTTTTTGGAAGTGCAATAGAAACCTGGCATGCCAGCCTGTAATTAAGCCGGGGGGGGGGGGGGGCTCTCTCAGCAGAGGAGGTGTTTGTGTCTCCGGAGGAGGCACCCCACTGAAAGGGAAGGGGCCACGGAAAAGATACCACCCAGAGATTTACTTCTTGTGAGGAGGCTGAAGTAAAATCACCAACATGATTTTGAAAAAGAAATGGAGGGGGAGGGTAGAAAAAAGACATGTTTTGTATTGAGCTTTAATCAGTTACTAAATTTGACATGCTCCCTTTGGGGTGCCCTGAATCTCCTCTCCTCTTTTTCTCGTAAGCATCCTCCACCTGCGGAGGGGGCTTCTCCTCCTGAAGAATAATTATGGGGGCGGGTGTTCCTTTTCGGGTGGGGTGGGGGGCAAACCCATTTTCTTCAGGCTGTGAACAGCAGAATGGGAAGCGACTCCCCAAGGTGGGTTGGGGTAGGCTTTGCGGGGGTGGGGGGGGCACAGGCGGTGAGATTCCTGCCTGCCTCCCTTGGCTTGTTCGGTCCAAGGGTTGAACTGTCCGGAGGTTTGGCTGTGAGATCAGGGAAGCCCCTCCTTCCAGCCACCTCTTGCCCAGGAACCAAGTCTCCTGCTGGGGTGGCCACAGAGGTCAGGAGCACGGAGGGTTGGCCAGGGCACCCTGAGGGGCAGCCAGGCTCAAGCTCCTGGGACCCTCGGAGGTGTCCCGCGGGTCATGGAAACTTGCAAGGAGGACGTGGATGTCCTTGATCCGTGGCCAAAAGCAGGGAACCAAGCTGGCCCCACTTGTGCCTCAGGACGTGGCTGGCCCACGGCAGCCACGGAGGGCTTCCTGTTGCAGCTGCCCTGGGGCTCCGGCCGGCGGTTCCAGAGGCCTGAGAGGTCCGTCTGGTGGTGGTGGTGGTGACTGAGGGGGAAGCAGGGGACTCACCCATCCTTGGCTTTTCCAAGGCCACTTCCAGAGGCTCCCTCTGTGCCCCGCCCAGAGTGAAAGCAGGTGCGAGAGAGATCTTTGGCGTCCCTGCCCCCTGGACCAGCTCGGCTACTGCTGTGGATGTGGGGCCTTAGCCCCAAATGGGTGCACGCTGATCCTGGACAAAGGCACAGTACAATCTGAAAGTTAACAAACAGCTTCTAAAGTGAAGGCGGATCAGCCCTTTTGGGGCGACACTTTGAAGGGGCCAAGTAGATGCCTGGGGTTTCTCATTGGTGCCTTTCTCGGGGGTGCCAAGCGAGCTCTCTTGCTGAGTGTGTGCCACTCTTGTGCCTTCTGTAAACCTTGTGCCTGGTGATGGGATGCCAGCCTGGTCTGTCTCTTGAAAGAGCCCACCCCCCATACACACACACAGGTTGGCTGG